ACGAACTCAAAACAATAAACTTAACTTTTTTTACAAGTTGTTATTGACGTACACACACACCCAGTACAGTGTTAAGTCAACAGAGTTTTTGTTAAATCGTGCCAATGCATACCCAGGGGTGTGAGTGACCACTGATAAAAAGAGCTGAAAACAGCTGAAAAAGGTGTAAACAAGCTGCAATCTCCGACACTTTTGTACACAGCAAGTCAGTGAGGGAAAACAACTGAAATCCAAAACAAAATAATCTGAAATCAGCTTTAAAGCTGAGATTTCACACCCCTGATATCGGTATATGTGAAAAAAGATCAAGAATTGTATCTCACTATGCAAGAAATAAATTACATGTAAATCACTGTGAAGTTTATCCTTTTCATTACTTTGAACCTTAGGCTGCCAGATATGAGATTCGGAGATTGCAGTTTTATCTTACACGGCACGCAGGCCCATACACACCCAAGCATGTTTAAGTTACATACCTAGTGTGGACATTCCTTTGTTTTTGTGTAGTTAAGAAAAACCTCTGAAAATTATTTAACTCACACTGTGAAAACACTTTCAACCCATTTTTTTTTCTACGATTCCCTTTAGTGTTTCTCTTTATTTTGCCACTGATAAACCTAACCCAACAATGAATCTTAAGCTGTTTTCCAGAGAGGGGGAAACATTGCGTGGACCTGGGCAGTCCACACAACGTCGCTGCTACCTGGTTTATGTGGACGTCTTTTGTTTGGAAGTCCACACAGTAAATGTAATGCTTGTACACCCTACACATTGAGGTGTATGAGATAATTTATATGAAACGCTGTGTATATGAGATATGCTACGCGGTGTATGAGGTAATAAGTAACTTTCACTGCAGTGTACACGCATGTGAAGTAGTTATTTTTATAAACTGGCCGATTTAAACCAATGAAATTACAGTACTCAAGACACTAGTCCGAAAATTTGGGTCTCTCAAAATTTGTACGAGTGTCCCAAAACTTAGATATTGAAAACATGAGGTGTATGAGGTAATTTATGTAAAACGCTGTGCATTTGAGGTATGCAATGCGATGCATGAGGTAATTTACATGTACATTCACTGCAGTGTACGTATATACACGCATATGAAGTTCAAGTAGTTATTTTTACTGGACACATGGCCGTTTGAGACCAATGAAATAACAATACTCAAGACACTAGTCCCAAATTTGGGTCTCTCAATATTTTGTATGAGAGTCCCAAAACTTAAGATATTGAAAACATGAGGTGTATGAGGTACATGTACATGTAATTTATGTCAAACGCTGTGTATATGAGGTATGCAACGCGGTGTATGAGGTAATTTACATGCACTGTAGTATCGTGCACTGTGAAGTAAACATTCTTTTTTTTATAAACTGGACACGTGACCGTTCTAGACCAATGAAACTACAGTACCCACGACACTAGTCCGAAAATTTGGGCCTCTCAATATTTGCTTCCAATATCTACTCGCAAGGTCCAAAAATGAATCGTTCACCTCTTTTTTAATTTAATATGGCCGACTCGTGCATAAAGTCTATTGGCACTGTACCCTCAACTGATACCAATGTCGGATTTTAAATAATTTATTTGAAATTATTATCTTATTTCATGAGAGCATATATTTCAAAAGAGTAGCATGACTTTTGAAATTGTCTGAAGCATTGGATACATATGCCTTAAAGGGCTACCTGAATATCAGAATTAATTCAACTCGTGTATTTTATTATCTCTATTCTTTTGAGTTGTTCTCATGTCCCACTTGACAGAGTCTAGTTCTGCACTTGTAACGTGTCAAGTGCCAACACTGTAATTGGCCTCTACGAGACTTGTTTAAAAATGGTGCATCTACCTGATTTTCACACACTCAATATTAAACCATTTGAGGAATGCTTAATTAAAGGGAATATACAACATTTGCAAACAGCAAAAAAAAAAAAAAACTGCCAAATTATTAGAAAATACCTTACTGGACTGTATGTAAAAAATAGTCTCAAGTATCTGTGAAATCATGGCACCTAATGTGCTGTCATTTTAAGAAAAGTGGAATTTTTGTATCAATTTCCAACGATGGTCGGCCAACCATCGTTTGAAAAAAAAAACACCTTTTTTTTCAAGTAAGTCCACATTTTGTTCTCAATCGGTTACACATCCGTGAACAGGTGCAAGCCAGCTAGTCTGGTTCCCTGACCTGACATCTATAAATTGCACTGTCAGGGAACCAGACTCCCAAGACAGATTTTTTTCTTGGTTTTTCCAGCATCTATGAACACAAAACTTTAAACTGGTCAGTGTAACAATATTTGCTATGAACTACTAACATGACTAACCCTCAAATCCATCAATTTCTGAAAATTACAGCAAAAGTTAACGTTGTATAAATATTACCTTTTAACTATAATTTTCAGAACAGTTTCAGAAAAGTAATCAGTTAATCTATTTGTACTTACTCAAGTTTCAATCTTCTGGCAAATAAAGGAAATGCCACAAGTTTCATCTTTTCAAACACTTCCCCCTTCCGAAATTTGCATTTTTGGAACAATATTATAGTACAGCAGATAGGTGATGGAATTGTGCCTTTAATGATACAAGCGTGGAATTTGGCACTCAGTCCGAGTATGCCATGATAAAGATATTTGGCTATAGGGCCATCGCAGATTTGTCCTTCGAAAAAAATATAGATAGAATAACAAGCAATGGTAGGCATTTTGAGAATTTTGAAAATTCCTTTGTTATTCCCGCAATTTTCTTTTCAAAGGACAAATCTGCGATGGCCCTATATAATTAAAAATCTTTCTTAACTATAAGTTTAATTTTTAATCTTAAGAAAAACTCTGACCGTGTGCCAAATGTCATGCTTGTATCATCAAATAAAGGCACATTTCACCCAAATATGTCCCTTATCTGCCCCACTATTTGTGTACAGATCAAAGAAAAGTAAACATGCGTGACAGGTTAAGCTGTTTTTATCCAACTTTACATACTGCGATTAAATAAAATACAAATACAAATTCAAATATTTGGTATTAAATTCATTCCAACCCAAAAAGGGTGTTAATGCCCATCACCCTGCACTGAAGTTTAAAAAAAAATCATGGTTTTTTTGGTAATTCATTCTTAGGCCAAATAAAAAAAAAAAAATACTCGGTCTCTGTTCAGCGCGCGCGTCGATTTTAATCATGCGCGTCAACCTTTTTTTTCTTCTCAAATTAACACGGACGCTACAACAGCGCCCTCTATTGCCGCACCTCCTCAAATTTTTGTACCAAGGAGCACCAAGGAATGGGGAAATTGCACCAAGGCAAATGATAAAGGGCACCAAGGCAAATTATAGAGGACACCAATGTATAATGAGGACACAAACAAAGCAAAATAGTACCCACCTTGTCTGTACAATACAAGCTTGAAAAAAAAAAGCCACCAAAAAAAAAAAAAAAAAAAACGCGTCGCCGCATCAATTCTGGAACTTCGGTCTGACCAGAGACCGACTGGTTTTTTTTTTTGGCCTTACCCATAATGGGTTTTAATGTCCATCCCTGCATGTACTGAATACTTGTGCTCAGTGCTTCCTGAACGATTTTGTTAAAACAAACTCTTAAACAAAAGTCTGGAAAGTCTGTAGCAACTCTCGAAAAAAATTGAGTATAAATCTGAAGTACAGCCCGGTGGTTAAGATTGTTTTATTCATGATCAGGGGCCACGTTCCTGGACCTGCTAGGCAAAGAATGTTGTTAATAACCACATAGTGTATGTGCTTAGAAGACACGGGTTACCAACCAAGATGTCATGTAATGGATATGGCATTTGATTGGTGCCCAGCGGATTTGCGCTCAGCACATGAATATGCTACATAGTGGTGTGCATTTATGGGTAGTCAGGTAGTACGAGAACCAGGGTACCCCCATTGAATTAAAACACCAGTACCTGGGTAAAAAGAAAACCAACCCCAAAATTCAAATCCCGGAAATAGTCTGAACCCTGAAGGGCTCTATAGCTTTATAGTTCAAACTGCAACTTTCGCGAGCGTCATCTGTCGCGCATTAGAATGCACATAAACGTGAATATCTGTTTTGGTTTTCTACATGTAGCCTGGTTTTCATTTTGAAAATTCCCCCACAAATGGCATTCAAAACCTTTTCTTTTTTATTGTCTGAGAAGTTACTGAGTAATTTGTCAAGTTGGTTCCAGGTACCCGATCCCATAATCTGGAACCGGTCAGTTACTCAAGTACACACCGCAATTGCTAAACAATATTTTCAGCTTAGCAGGTCCATCACACTGAGCCCAGATGGGTCAGGGGTGCGAATCCGGGTGCAGGCCGTATCTTGTGTCCTTGGGCAATCCACTTTACCCCAACTTACCCTTCAACACCCATACGAATACACTGACCTCCAATCCCCAGAGGAAATGGACATATTCTATGTCATTTCATAAAAAGTGATGTACTGGGTGTGAATCTGGGTGCAGGCCATATTTTGTGTCCTTGGGCAATCCACTTTACCCCAACTTACCCTTCTACACCCATATGTAAATGGTTACTGGCATACTTCACTTATAGCAATGGAGCAGACAGCAATTAACTGGTATCCCATCCCCAGAGGAAATGGAGATATTCTATGTTGTTTCATAAAAAGGAAACTGAAGTGATGTACTGGGTGTGAATCTGGGTGCAGGCCACATTTTGTGTCCTTGGGCAATCCACTTTACCCCAACTTACCCTTCTACACCCATAGGAATACATGTAAATGGTTACTGGCATACTTTACTTGTAGCAATGGAGCAGCCAGCGATTCAACGGCATCCCATCCCCAGAGGAAATGGACATACATGTAGGCGACCTACTGTAGCAAAATGAGGAATGTCTCCCAAAACCTTGTTTTGCGTAATCGACGCCTGAAGTCGGATATGTACTAGAAAAATCATGTCAAATAGATATCGTGGTTTTTTAAATTTTTATACTAGTCAAGGTATCCAAGATTCATGCTAATTCATTTTTGTTAGGACAAAAATACCCCAAAAGTGTACAAACTGCAGAATGTTTTTCACTGCCGTTGGTGGCGCAATGCAATTTTGTTTTTTCGAAGCCGTTTCTCTCGAAATGAGGTCAGCGAAGTTAGGCGGGACACTGTTGAAATTCCTGCAACATATCTTTCGAATAAATTGAGCTGCAGAAACAAATTTGGTATCATTGGAAAGCCAACGATTTGAACTTTAACATGATGTATGCATCTTGAAAAGTCAAAGGTGGAGATTATTCCTCATTATGATATGACCGGTCATTCTCAGTCTCATGAAGAGAAAGGAAACTGAAGGTACGAGTAAATACTGGCCAAAGGAGCCAAACTTGGCCGAGACCGACTTAACTTTTACTTAAAAGTTGAACATCTCACTAAGCAGGGGCAGCATGCTGTTTCCTTGCAGCTTCAGGTTCATTATATCATCCATGTACTTCTCTGTGACGTCGCGCACATCAGTGAGCAGCATTAATGACTGTTGACAAAGATGAAACAAACCTTAAAGTTATAGTCCATCATTTGTAATTTGTGCATTTTGTTCGTTTGAAGCAACAAAAGTGTTCAAAATCTAAAGAAGGGTACTGAACAACTAACCTGATGAAGTTTCAGCTCAGCTTCAGCTGTATATTCTGAGAAAAACAGCATTCTAGGATCTCAATTTCAAATCAAAAGTTGCTGAATCATGTTTTAGTGAATTGCGCCTGAATTCAGCGTCCGAGACACGTTATCGCTGAGCCGAATGCAGCTACGCGATGTCGCGCACTGATCTGACGAATTGTAGCAACCGGCATGACCGGGGATGCGTGTGCGTCGTGCCAAATCTTGCGCGCGCTTCGCCGAATAACAAAATAAACTACTAATTTAAATTTTCCTACGGTGCGTCTTAAGAAGCACCGTTGGAAAGGCCTTCTTTCGTTGATTACTTCAAAATGACAACTTGCCAGAAAGAATAATTTCACAGGGAGTTTAGTCCCCTTACTATCTTTCAACCAAGTATGTTTTTCAACAATAATTACGCCAGCTTCATTTCGGATAGCTGCAAATGATGGACTATAGCTTTAAGTATCATTTAACAACGTGCCTCAGCAAGGCAGAATGTACAGAAATCTACAGTATGGGCTCCGTGCACAAGTACCCCCTCACTGGTAAGAAAAGGAGAGTTGGGGGAGACCATCAGGAGAGACCATCGAACATATGTGATGCGATCAAGCTAAATGAGTCGTTTGTCGACCCTGGTCAAAACATTTTATTACAGATTTGAAAAGAGCACAATCTCAGCATTCCTGCTGTGAAAACCGCATGCTGATACCATCTTTAGTTCAAAAATTATGGAAGTTGGATCACAAGAGATGTGATGAAGTGATGTGATGAAGTGGCCCTATTTTGGCCTGTATCTCCAAATGACAATTCCCGACAAACGACTCATTTAGCTTGATAGCATCACATATGGCTTTGTGCACATTCAGAATCAAATTCATGCCATGATAAGAATCTTCGGTCGGGTTCCTCTTAACCCTTTCCTTACCATGGGCGACTTTTGTCGACGAGGAAGTACCCCCCTGCTGCTTACCATTGGTGACTTTAGTCGACCAGGAACCCGCACACAGAACACCCTCAACACAGACTTATTCACTACTTTTCAGAAAGGCGGCATGCTGATATGTTTGGCCGCCCATACATCAACCGTATCCGGCTCGTTAGTAAAAACGTCACACACGCGCGCGCACCCATACTGAAATTTGTATTCTTGTGGAGACACTACTTTGTTCTCGTGAAGTAAAGTTTTCGAGTTTGAAAGTGAAGTTTCAAAATGCTCTTATTTTAACCAGAATTAATTTCCTTGGCTGAAATTCGGATTAATATCCCTTTTCTAAAACTCTTCCATTTGCGACGATCAACCCACCTTGGAAATTCCTAGTTTTTGAGTAAAATCCGTACATCTATTTCGTGAAAATCTTGTGGAGATGTATTCATCTATAGAAATTGCCCTTTGGAGACGTATACGATCTTTTGTTCCCTATTGTGTGCACGTCTCCACAGGGCACGGTGTATCAGATCACCACTGATTGCTAGCGCCCATTGGATAAACGCTGGAGTTGCATTTAATAACCGGTTCCATTTTTTGTGCTATGCTACACCGTGTGAAGTACGTATGGTTGAGTTGAAATGATGTCACACTAACGAACAGGATACCAGCTAAAAGAGTGTTTTCGGATTGTTCTAATGGTGCAGTTTATTCATAATGTTACCACTACAAAAACATTTTAAAAAGTGCTTCAGAAGTATCCACGCACAATTGGATGTATGGAGTGCCATTTGGTCAGGTGGTGAAATGGCTTGCAGTTTGATAAATGGGACCAGATGAACAAAACGGCATAACCTTCTTATATTTGCACACATGGACTTCATTTTAACATCTGATAAAAGAGCAAGGTTCAAGGAACATACTTCACACACAACACCTATGATTTTAATCACTCCTTGGCAGTGAAAATCTGGGTTGAAAAAGTGAGTTCTCAACTTGTGGTCCATTTTTCACGCTCTAGTGATTTCTGCATGACTGAGCAAACAATTTGGTCCTGGGGAGAGCCAAGTCAATAATCAAATAATGAAAGGGTAATGACAGAGCAACCTGACCAACCATTATAGGCTACTCGGGTTGTGAAACACCATTTTGGAAAGCCTACCCCCAGGAGATGAAGATTCTTATCAACACTTATTGACTAATCCTTTAATGGGTTCGATAAAGGTGAGAAAGTGACTCTGCCCGAGAGATTCCGAGCACATTATTTCTTTGCTGAATTTGTTCTGTCAGTCCAAAAAGTATTATCATAATAACGTACGTGCAATGTTGATATTTGTTTTATTTTTTTGAACTATGAAAATGGATAAATAAACGGCTGAGAAGATCTATTACTGTCATCACCATCACTTAAAAACTTAATGACTCCCGACAGAGGTCCAAAATGGTGTGTGAAACAAGCACCTTTCTTCAAAAGGGATGTTTTCGTCATGAAAAGTGTGTAATCCGCAGTTTATGCACGTGAACACGCAGTTGTGTTTTACTATACTCTCGAGGACAATGATTTGTGCTTCCCTTTGTCCCTGTAATATAACACTCCCCCGTAGACTAAGCACACAAACTTACTACAGAGGACTGTTTTGAACAAAAGACCCAACTCCCGAGGACTCGAGGAACAAACTTTACACACAACACCTATTATTTTAATCACTCCTTGGCAGTGAAAACCCTTTCTTAAAAGGGCTGTTTTCGTCATGAGACGTGTGTAATCCGCGGTATATGCTCGTGAAGACGCAGTTGTGTTTTACTATACTCTCGAGGACAATGCTTTGTGTTTCCCTTTGTCCCTGTAATATAACACTCTCCCGTAGACTAAGCACACAAACTTACTACAGAGGACCGTTTTGAACAAAAGACCCAACTCCCGAGGACTGAAAGGATCTGTTGTTCTCCCTTTGCGTGTCGGTCCTCGCGGGTTATGTAGAACACGTATCAGTACGCACACGCCGTACGTCCTGTCCACGGGGCTCTCGAGCAGTGGTTAAAAAGCGCCCTCTCTTGTTCACGCACAGAGCCCATTACCTTCAAACTTGGAGTTGCTTACCTTGGGAAACAGGTGCTGCCCTGGGTGATTTATTCTCATGCAAGTCTGCAACGCCTCCACTAACAACTGCTGCTGGGTGGCAACGGTCTCTACTTCTTTCACATCAGGTCGATCTGTGAAAAAAATGAAAACATTAAAAATTTATGTAATCATAATGAAATAGGCTGATCTTGGGTACAGGGATGTGATTGGTCTGTGGCAAAAAAACCTGAAAATTGTATGCATGAAGTGCATTCTCCGGCGATTTGATTTTAGATGCTCTGTGGTGCAATCTGAGGCAATTACTGGGCACTTTCCTCTGAAATTCTGAAGCAGAATTTGTTTTAATTTCATGAAGAATTTTCCTTTATTTGTTAAAACAAACTCTTGTTCTAATAAAGTTTTTTCTGTACTCAAAGTTGAGAACCATGCTGTTCTCCCCAGGATTTGTTCAAACCTGTGGGGGATTTTTTGTGATACAATCACCTGCGAAGCCACGGCGTGGGGCCCCGAAAAATTTTGAATTTTAGAAGCTTTCTGGTGCATTTTAGAGCATTTCAGAGGAGATCTTGTAATATTTTTGTAAAAAAAAAATCAAAATTGTAAACTTAAATCACTTCTGCTTCCGATAACATGCCTTTCAAAATAGCGTCGGTAGTATTGTTGGATAAAAATTATTTCACCATTTCTATATTTGTAGTAAAGCAAGGAATCGTTTATAAATTATACATGTATTTCATGTATTTTGTGGATTATTCTCATTTGCGCCACAAAAATTATCAAGACTAGCTATCAAAAGTGATTAAAACTTGCCTCACCTAATTAAAAATATATTTGAGGTGGGTCATTCCACAATTTTGCTTAACGTACATCACGGCCGCTAGCGCCGCAAACATTCAGTCTGGCCGGCCGTACCGGTACATCGCGCCGTACACACGGCCGGCCCAGCCCAGTATCAGTGTGCATTGCTGCACTGTGTACGGCCCATCCCACGTAGCCGAAAATTCTGCAATTCTGCAGGACTGCAGAAACACGCTACGATGTTTCTCCACAGGTTCAAGTTTTGCAATCTCGTCATTTCAATGGAAAATACATACACAGAAAATGGAGATCACGTTCTGTGAATTAATTTGCAGAAATCCTCTTTTTCCATCGATGGTTGTTTGGTATTTTTACTATTTTTACAATCCAACTTCGGCCGATTACGCACGTGAAAACGAACCTGTGAGTACTTGCAGTAGTCACTGGTTCCGGTCCTTCATCATAGCATTGATTCTGTTAGCACGCGAAGGGTACCAGTGTACCATGCTGCACTCATCTACACACCTGACCAGCACAACACGTGCATCTCGAATACCGACACAGGAACTAGACCTATATAACCACAACCTCGGCCCCGAGCGAAAAATCACATAATCGCACTAATGGCAATGCTTGGTCTTCAACTTCGTTCTCATATTGGGTGTTCAATATACATGTGCGTGCGGCATGTACATATCGATCAACGAATTTTATGTCCGTAACTTCGTAAGTAAATTTCGGATATTTCGGCAAGCAAAACTCATTATGAATAATTAATTAGCACATTCTACCCCCCTATTTTCTCAACGGATTCACACGATTCACGTTGGTGGACTTTTGAGGCCCAAAAAAACGGATTTCCGGAAATAACCGGAGAAATCACATCCCTGTGGGTAGGGGCCATACCCCTTGGCAAAAAAAGAAAAAGAAAACGGAATGCCTTTTTTGGTACAGATAGTTATTCAACCTATAGAGGAGTGAAGATGACTGATGTTAAACCGATACTTCTCATCAAACAAGGTCAGGCCAAGGTCATGTCAAACAAGGTCATGTCAAACAAGGTCAGGCCAAGGTCATGTCAAACAAGGTCAGGCCTTGGCAGATATGGCATGGGGGAAAAACACATGCATGTACATGTAGAACCATTCCTGAACTATTGACCAAATTGCCAGTCAACATGTTTAAACTAGACGTACCGTACATGTAGTACCAGAGGTCATATTAGTTTTTATTACCTGGGATATGATGTAGATAGCAAAAGAAGCAAAAATTAAACGTAGAACCCTTCTGTTATTATCACAGACCCTCACGCATGTCAGGGTGCCTACATGCACTATTGACCTCATTTTCAGTCAATATGTATACACTAGTCTCTAACCAGGGGTTTTACTAAATCTAATGTCAAACAAGGTCAGGCTCTATTGACATCTATTTCCTTTGGCCTAAGGCATCGAGAAATACATACATAGAACTCATCTGTTATCAATCATACATGTAGTCCCTCAGGGTGCCTACATGCACTATTGACCTCATTGTCAGTCAATATGTTAATACTAGTCTCTAACCAGGGGTTTTACTAAATCTAACGTCAAACAAGGTCAGGCTCTATTGACATCTATTTCCTTTGGCCTAAGGCATCGAGAGATACATGTACATTTGTACATACATAGAACACATCTGTCAGAGATGAAACTGGCATATGGCAAAAAAATCGGAAAATATGCCGAAGAAAAATACGTGTCCGAAATCTGGGCCGCGCTGCATTACACACATGTACATGCATGTACAATACACTTCATGCCCAATTTCCGGACACCTGCTCCTGCTTTATTTTCGATTCAAACAAAATTTTACGATGAAAAAAATGGTCAGTGTTTTCATTGCATAAAATGCCCGAATTACGGTTAGAGTAATGGAGTCATCAATAAAGAAGTTCACTTCTTACTTGAGAAAGTCTAGGGAAAAGTCCGAAAGACAAGGTACCGTTCATGGTGCTGTCCATTCAACCACAACTCCACTACTCCACTTGCATTCATACGTGGGGAAAAATCAGGTATTATCGTCTTTCTCATCTAACAAATGCCAGTGAAATGTTTCGCTAATGCTCTCTTCGATATCCTCGAGATAATCATCACGATTTTTAAGGCATTGTATTTTGTATAACTAAATTTGAAACCTCCGAAAATCGCACAACATAATGATTTTATCCACTGGATCGTTCACAAGGCTGCCCGTTCGGGGCCGTTCCCGACCGGCCATGTGCTAGCAGACGGTACGGTGCGGTACGTACGTCCGCTGGTACTCATTGCGTGCAGTACATGCACGCACGTGCGGCACAGTGATTTTTCCATGTCGCCTGTCAATGTTTAACCTTTTGTCCAGCCGGAGAAGGCTCCGATCAGTGTTATGCCCTGTGTTTCTACCGTTGAAACACTCCAATAACGACTGGTGAAAGAGATTAAAACTACGTTCGCGATGATTTTAACGTGCCATTTTCCATCGACTTTTCATCGACTTTTCTTCGAAATTATGACTGAAATAAAATGACATTTTGTGAGAAAAATCCTTACTAAATCAAATTTTGTTGGACACACTGTAAAAAAATCGGAAATTTCGTTGGAAAATTCAAAAAGTCGGTTTTCCGATTAAAATCGGAAAAGTTTCATCTCTGATCTGTTATCAATCATACATCGTACATGCATTATTGACCTCATTGTCAGTCAATATGTTGATACTACCGTAGTCTCTAACCAGGGGTCATATTAGCGTCAAACATGGTTAGGCTCTATTGATATCTATTTCCTTTGGCCTATGACATCAGGAAATGCACATAGAACCCTTCTGTTATCAATCATAGTCCCCCAAGGCGCGTACATGCACTACTGACCTCATTGCCAGTCAATATGTTGATAATAGTCTCTAACAAGGGGTAACACTAGTTCTAGCGTCAAACAAGGTCCTGAAGGCTTTTTTGATATCTATTTTCTTTGGCCTATGGCAATGGGAAGTATTCTTCAGGGTGCACACATGCACTACTGACCTCAGTGCCAGTCAATATGTTTATACTACATTATACAATTGTTGCCTGTTGTGATGGGGTCCATGGTGTTTTGTGCACCCGAGGGTGTATAGTCGTGTTCCCTAACGTTGGGCACTTCGAAGCTTACCCAACTTTCCTCGTGTAGTGTTGCCAAACCTCTTTGTTGACAAACCTCAAATTCATGCAGTAAAATACTGGTACTTTGACCTTATTAATGCATGCTATTTAACCTCTGTGAACTATTTCGGTTTCATAAAATTTAATCCGAAATTCAAAAACGGTGGCGTCCGGAAATTGGGCACAAATTCGCGGAGTGTTCCCTTACGTGGCGCACTTAAATAAATCTCGGAAAATTCCAAATTAACATTTAAGAATTTCTGTTAACTTGATAAATTCTGATAAATCCTTATTATCTCTACTTACATACCCAGCCAGATGTTTGTCAGAAAATTATTTTCTTATTTTTCGGGGCATTTTCAAAGTGTTCACTTTGCACTTGAAAATAAAATCAGAAAATCACCCCAAAATAATTTTTTCTTCTAAATTTGTAACGGGTGAATAAAATCACGATTTATGAACGGGAGTGTTTAGAACTTGATGAAATGTCACTTTCTGTGAAATTTCAGTTAAAACTTTTGCTCTAGGTAGGCGCTACAGGTGAAAAATCAAAGTGCGCCACGTTGGGGGCCGCGCCACGTTAGGGTACATCAACAATACAAAACCCATGGACCCCAATCACGGCAGGCAACAATGGACCGATCCAGTAAGCACCGCCACATTGTGTTCTGACCAATCACAGCCGTGATTTATATCCGACGTGCATGCACTAAAGTCCGACATGCGTGCACGCACGTATGATGCGCGTGGCAGGAAAATGCAGTGTGGCATTGGAGAGGAGCACGTGTTAATTTGCCCACGTGCGCACTGGGCGGAGCTTACTGGATCGGTCCATTGTTTTGTTATACCATGGTAATAGATTCCAAGCGTCTGAAATTGTGGATTTCCTCCAGTTGCCGTGTAGTAATAGCGGAAGTACTATTTTGAAATGATCCGTGATTACTGCACTGTGAATATTCGCACATTTTTTTTTCACTGCACAGAAACACAAATTAATTTACCTTTTCAATGGATAGACCAATCCATTACTCCCTGCCCCGTTACGAGTCAATCACAGCTGTGACCATGTTCTATGCGCGCGCGACCATCCGACATGTGTGCGCGCTGTCTGAAGCCTCTTACCCGGGCTATTTATAGAATAGAATAGAATGCTCCATGGATCACCGAGGGACGCTAGTTTTACTTCAACACGAGATAAAGCGTTCAATATTTGTTTTATAACACTTGACCCACAGATTCTGCTTGGTTTTAATATTTTAAATTATTTAAATCTGAACACAGTTGAAATAAACTTCAATTTCAATACAAAATTGGTGGAAAATGTATTTCTCTCTTCCAAACTACCCCTTCACGAAATGTTTGAACCCAACTCTGCGGCGCGCTCTCTTTGGAACAAAAGGGGCTACGCGCAACGCGCACACCAGCATGCATTTGCACACAAATACCGCGCCGTGGATATAGTACTTTGGTTGCTAATGGTATAGTACTTTGGTTGCTATGGGTATAGTACTTTTGGCCGTGCACAGAAAGATAGCCAAAATAGAAAGTATCATGTGACTCGCTCTCGGCCAATCAAGACACAGAATCTGTGGGCGAGGTATTATAAATCATATATATTGTTGATGTACCCTAACGTGGCGCAGCCCCTAACGTGGCGCACTTTGATTTTTCGCCTGTAGCGCATAGCTAGAGCAAAAGTTTTAACTGAAATTTCACAGAAAGTGAAATTTCATCAAGTTATAAACACTCCCGTTCATAAATCGCGAGTTTATTAACCCGCTACAAAGTTAAAAGAACAAATTATTTTGGCGTGATTTTCCGATTTTATTTTCAAGTGCAAAGTGAACCCTTTGAAAATGCCCCGAAAAATAAGAAAATAATTTTGTGACAAACATCTGGCTGGGTATGTAGGTAGAGATAATAATGATTTATCAGAATTTATCAAGTTTACAGAAATTCTTAAATGTTAATTTGGAATTTTCCGAGATTTATTTAAGTGCGCCACGTTAGGGAACACTCCGCCAAATTGTGCCCAATTTCCAGACGCCACCGTTTTTTAATTTCGGCTTAAATTTTATGAAACCGAAATTGTTCACAGAGGTTAAACAGCAAGCATTAATAAGGTAAAAGTACCAGTATTTCACTGCATGAATTTGAGGTTTGTCAACAAAGAGGTTTGGCAACACTACACGAGGAAATTTGGGTAAGCTTCGAAGTGCGCCACGTTAGGGAACACGACTATATAAAACCAGGGGTCAGACTAGTTTCTTACCAGGGGTCATGATGCAGATGGCAAAGATTAACGCCATCTCCTCCTCCTGGAGTTCCAGCTTGATCATTTTCTCGGCGAAGACAGTGATGCAGTCGGCCATCTTGCTTAGTCCGCCCATGATGCCCACGTCCTTGGTGTAGGCCTGGCCCGGAATGAGCACGCTGGTGAAGGACTTGGTCTCGGGGTTGTACAGGGCTGCCGAAGTCAGCACAAGATACTCCAGGTAAGCGCCTTGAGAACACACAATCCAAAATAATGGTGGGATTAACAATCCAGATATTTGAACCCTAGCCCCCTAGTAGTTCCTCAGGACTACCCTGCTACGTAAATCCAACAGAGTCCAACCGGAGTTTCCTGCTCAATCCACTGTGCCTTGTTTTCAGTTGTCTGCTGAATCCAACGGAGTCCGGTGTTATAATGCGATTCAGTTGCCTGCCGAATCCAACATTTTGCATCAGGAATGTACACCAGGGGTTTATGCTCCATCCAACAGGCTCCATCGGGTATATGATAATAATAATAATAATAATAAAAATAATAACTGGATTTATAGAGCGCCAAATTGCCAAAGGATACAAGGCGCTGAAACAAAGAAAGAAGAACTACAGAAAGAACAACAGAAAAACAACAAGGGCGTACGACCAGCTATGGTGTGGGGAAAAAATGGGTTTTGAGAGCCTTCTTGAAGGTTGGCACAGTATCGGAGTTTCTGATAGGGATGGGTAGACTATTCCACAATCGGGGAGCAGCAATAGAGAAGGCCCGATCACCTGCGAGTTTATTTGTTTTCTGGACAACAAGAAATTTCCCATGAGAAGAGCGAAGGGAGTAAGACCCGGTTCGAATTGAGAGAAGAGAAGAGAGGTAATCAGGGGCATATAGTTGGATCACGTTCAATTCAGCAGGGTTCATATTCGTTTTGAATTGCACACTTCAGTTTGGATTTTGGAAACTGAATACAGTGGAAGGCCGCTATAACGAACACCGTGGGATCCACAGAAATTGTTCGTAATCGCGATCGTTCGGTATAGCGATTTTCACACATTAGTGGCACCCTCTTTTGACCATTCTTATTGTGTAGTTGCATTCAAACCACGGAGTCACAAAATGTGTCCATTAACATTTTCTATTCCGTAGCAGAACTTAACCAAGTACGCCCTGGTAGTTACTGAAAGACGACTTCGAACACGTGCGACTATTGAATCATGTAATTACACAGTTTTTTAGCTTACATTGGTGGCTTCTTTTGACTATTCGTTGGGGAAATAATAGCCATTTGTCGCTCTTCGGTTGACATTTCCAACAACAATGTTTGGTACGTCTTGTACACAAAATTTGGGAGCCAAGGCTGATGTTCGGTATAGCCGAACGTTCGGTATATAGCGGTGTTCGGTATAGCGACGTTCCACTGTACAGTAAACTCCTGTCAAGTCCAACCTCAAGGGAATGGATAAGATGTTGGCGATGGGTTCAAATGCCCCTCCCAGTGAACTGCCCTAACTCTCACTTTGTTTAACCGTTGAGCAGGTACTGGTGCACGGGGTCCATTCATAACCGAGAATTTATAGATTTTTACGTCATAATACGCGATTTACCGTTTACAGCAAACAGCAATGTATCATCCCTACTAGGAACAAGCAATATCTGTCGCACCTTTGGCGAGAATGGTGTTAAAGCAACCCCTCCTTCCTACCTTTTACCACAGCCGCTTGGTCTTCCCACGTCAGCGACCGAAATCCCGGCAGGCATTTGGCGAAGGTGGTCATGTTCTTCAGCACCATCACCATAAGTTCCATGACGTGCTTGAAAACCATGTCGTCAAACTCTGGCTCCTCACCACCGTTTTCATGCGCCTCTGCACTTGAATCTTCTGCACTACTTCCATCATCCATCAGAAGTTTAGAACTCTCATGTTCTGCGCTTCTTCCTGTCCTTAATCCCCGGTCGTCAGCTGTAACTGGTAGGCCTTCGTTTGGGTCTTGGGGAAGACTCCAGAGATCAGGACGGGCGTCGAGAGTGTCGGGCATGTCAAGAGCTACCTGTCGAGTCCTCTGCAGGGGTGAAGGCGGTGGGTAAGGTTTCAGGCCCTCACATGGGTCTGCTTGGGGACCAGCGAGGGTGGAACATCCAAGATCCGAGCTGGATCTGATCAACGTCGCATGGACGGCTCCGTCCTCTGCGGCGCCCTCAATGTCCTGATTGACCGTTGAGGGCAGTCTAAGACTGGTCTTCGATGGGCTGTGGGATACAGACGACTGGCAAACCCAGGAAAGGCAACGAGTCGAGGACGGATCCTGATTACACGGTGTCTGCCTCTCCTGTCCAACTGCATCACTTCCAAGATCCATCAGGGCAAGCTGATCGGCACTCCAGGGGCAATCAGGACTCTCTACGAACCTACGATGAGGCGAGTTTCCACTCGACGCGGTTTGAGCTTGATCGGGATCGAGAGAGCTAAGCGGTGGAAACTCAGAATTGGGGAGTACACTCTGTTGCTTGTGAGGTTTTAGGGTGTCCTCATCCAGATCCCTGACGGCTTTGTCCGTGGCGTCTCCGCCAAACGTCCTCTTTGCTGGACTACTTGCAGTTTTCGATGCAGCTTCACTGGCGCTGTCCCGCTTAGGCTCCTCATCCTTGGGCTTCTGCATGCTAGAAGTTGCTTTTCTCAAAGACTCAGAGACTTTTTGTTGGACCTCCTCTGGAACACGCTCCTATTAAATAAAACACCCAAAATCAGTTACATTAGGAGTATTTTTCTTGCACATTGTCCCAGAATTGGCAGTTTTATGCACTTGAGTTGGTTGCCCAACGGTCCCACAAGTCCCAGCGACTTTTACACACCTTTTGCTTTTTGACGTATTTGGTAGGATTATGGTGAGGAGCTCTATTAGGGCTGTGCATGTTCAAAAACTTTAGTATCTGAATAGTGAAACTTAGATTCGATTGAATATTCAAATATTCGAAATGCGCCTATCAAGTTTAACACGTGCTTGCCTAAACTGCTTGCGCTAATCAGAAATTTGCACGTGCCCGTCAGGAATGTAACATGTGCCAGGTGCGTGCACTCAAAACAGTTGAAATTTGCATGCGCCGATCAGGAGAACTGGGCCCGCAGATCTGAATTTGCGTGTGCCTGTCCAAATTGACAATTATGAGCTTAAAGGGAATATACATCATTTGCTTTTGCTGTAATTTTCAGAAATGGATGGAATTGGGGGTTTGGAAATATATAGCAAATATAGTTACACTGACTCTTTTGAGGTATTGGGTTCGCAAATGCTATAAAAACCAAGAAAAACAATCATTTTCCTGTAGTCTGGTTCCCTGACTCCATATAAGAAGAAACAAAGCAGTTTACATACATTGGGGAATTGTAAGGTCAGGGAACCAGTCTAGCTGGCTTGTACCCGTTCATAGGGTGTGTAATCGATTGCAAACAAGTGTGATGGTCAAGTGGGGCCAGTATTTGAAAAAAAGCCAGTTTTTTCCAACGCTGGTCGGCCGACCAGCGTTGGAAATTGATACAAAAATACCACTTTTCTTGAAAATGACAGTATACCAGGTGCCATGATTTTACAGGATGCTTTACACTGTCATTCACTAACAGTCCAGCAAGGTATTTCAAAATGATTTGGTAGTTTTATTTTTTGATGTTTGCAAATGTTGTATTTTCCCTTTAATAATAAAACATTAAGAACATTATGTTACATTTTTACAAGGTACCGGTAGTTAACAAGTACCGTAGTCTATGGAATATCCCCTTGCACTTCAAGGGTCTTTTATGTGTGAGCAGATTCGGTGATTAATTATATGCAAAACAAGACTGTGTCTTGACCTACAGATTCTGACCATTGAATCTGCGGGCGCCTTCCATCGGGTCTTCCGTAACCCGTTGTTGTGTTACAAAAACATGGCAGTCAAATTGACCGATCAACAGTTGCCTCCACATTTCTAATCGAAATGACGTCACAACTGCTACAGTTGACTCCGATTGGCTGTCGCGCGAGGTCGCATAAATTTGAATGCTGGGATATAGCAAACATTCGACATGTGGCTCTGCACACGTCTGATTGTCAGATTAGGGCAAGTTGGCGCAATAACTATTGTTGATCATTGGTTAACCATAGCTCGACTGAAGTTAGCCCGAACTCTGTTTAGTTTACGATGGTTGACTACGCTAGTCGACTTTTTGGAACCAGCCTACTGGGGCTGGTTACATCGCTGGTAACCAATAGCCACGCGCATTCATAACTTAAAGCAGGGAGCCAGGATCCAGACATTTTGACCAGCGTTTGACGAGACGTTCGCACGTTGCTATTAGTGCGCAGGCGTAAGGTACATGTACGTCACAAATCAACCACTAGTCGACTAATGGTCCTGCCCGAACTTGGCCCTAGCTGACAAGCTCATGTAGTTGAACGATTTGAAAGATGCAAACTTATAACATTACAACATCAGAGATTTTTCTCTTCATTATTTTGAGACCATTCGCAATTTGTTTTTTGGATATTCAAATAGGAAATATGCTACCCGGAATATTCAGTGGATAAGCATATCTTAAATCAGGGTTCCCACAGAAATCGTATAAAATGATATTTCGTGACTTTCAATGACTTTCCATGACTATCCAGGATTTTTCCAGGACAAAATTAGGGTTTTCCATGACCAATTCCTATGTTGTTTTGCCATTTTTGGAGCCTAAATACATGTACGTGTTCAATACACTAGCCAGTCATCACCCTGAAAACAGGTCTACATCTAAGTGTGCCATCCGATGCTCCAACTTTTTCATGTTTACCTTACATGTCACCAAACACTTACATGTACAAGGCATCCTGTCAGTGTCTTCCTACGTGTAGCATTTCATGATACTACAAAGCTTGGAACACAACAACTATAGAAACTGCATCTACATGTAATCATACACTAAATTTATGCAACCAGAACTGAGAAAGGCAATTAGCCAAACAGTACGCATCATCACGTATGGGTTGTGCTGGATTCCATGACTTTTGGGGGAAATATCAACTTTCCATGACTCTAAATAAAGAAAGGTTTGCGGAAACACCATGTACGAATAATTTCTCAACTATAAAGAAAATGGTTCTGAAAAGAACCAGAGGTATAAACTCGACCTTCCGGTCAGTATGCTCTGACCGTCTTCAGGAGAGCATACTGACCGGAACAGTCAGAGCATATTGACCAGAACGTCGAGTTTATACCTCTGGTTCTTTTCAGAACCATTCTCTTAGTTGAGAAATTATTCGTACATGGTGTTTCCGCAAACCTTTCTTTATTTAGTATCTCCACCATGCAAAGCCTCAAATCTTACTTTCCATGACTCCTTGTTTAAAAAAAACACAATTCCTTTTCCATGATAGCTTTAAATTCAAGGATTTTCCACGACTTACTGTGGGAGCCCTGGATATAAGTTCGGCACGGCCCTGATTAGAGCCATGAACGGGTCCTCACCTTCTGTGCCTTGACGTACTCCTCAGCTTGTTTGTACATGGCCTTGATCTTCGCCGCCAGTTCCAAGTGTTGATCCACGATCTCCTGGTCCAGAGACGATGACGCGTCCGACATCGAGCTTTGCGGATCCAGGCTGGATGACGTCGAGTCACTGATGCTCGCTACGCACGCCAGAGGATCCATGCTCCCTTGGGGCTCCTCTTTGCTCGGACTCTGCGTGATGGGTTTGACTTTCTTGATGATGGGCTTCCTGGTCTTGATCCTGTCTTTGTCCCATAATCCTTTGAACAATTTAGGATTAAACCAAAACAAAATCAGGGTTTGACTTTCTAGATGATGGGTTTTCTTGTCTTGATCCTTTCTTTGTCCCATAATCCTTTGAAAAATTTAGGATTAAACCAAAACAAAATCACGGTTTTGACTTTCTTGATGATGGGCTTTCTTTGCTTAATCCTTTCTTTGTCCCATAATCCTTTGAAAAATTTAAGATTAAAAACCAAAACAGAATCACGGTTTGACTTTCTGGATGATGGGCTTCCTTGTCTTGATCCTTTCTTTGTCCAATAATACTTTAAAAAATTTAGGATTAAACCAAAACAAAATCACGGTTTGACTTTCTTGATGATGAGCTTTCTTGTCTTGATCCTTTCTTAGTCCAATAATCCTTTGAAAAATTTAGGATTAAACCAAAACAAAATCACGGTTTGACTTTCTTGATGGGCTTCCTTGTCTTGATCCTTTCTTTGTCCCATAATCCTTTGAAAAATTTAGGATTAAACCAAAACAAAATCGCGGTTTGACTTTCTTGATGATGGGCTTTCTTGTCTTGATCCTTTCTTTGTCCAATAATCCCATAAAAACAAGGAAATCAACTGATCCAAGGAAAAAATCATGCCTGAAGCTTGAGACAAAATTTTGACTTTGTTTCAGAAAAAAAATCTTGATACAGGTATGTGACGAGATAGAACGAGATGAGCCGTAATTTTTTTTCTCTAATTAGGATATGATATATCACTCAGTTCAAAATCGAGAGGCGTGGCATGTGCACTCGAGTTGAGTCGAGCCATTTGCCTGTAATGAATGACTCGTCTAGTTGACATGGACATGCATGGAGCCATTTCAGGCATTTTACATTTGAGTAGGACTCGTGGACTCGAGTCGTGGACTCGGATCATGATGGACTCGAGTCATGGTACACAAATATTGAGTGGCTCAGTGTCAAATGGGAGGAATATTATCGCAAGGTAAAATCTGGACTTTTTTTAGCCCAGTGAAATGAAAAAATGTCCAGATTTTACCAAGCGATAATATTCCTCCCATTTCACAATTTAAGACCACTCAATATTTGTTTCATGTAACTGACATATAGATCCTTGTCATTTGATTTACAGTTAAATAGAACTTCTATTGCAGTACAAATTTGTGGGAAATGTATTTCTCTCTTCCAAACCACCCCTTCACGAAATGTTTGAACCCAACTCTGTAGCTACTGGCTCTTGGCAACAATACGCGCTACGCGCAATGCTCAACATGTACACCAGCACTAGAAGCAGACGTTTGCACACAAATACCGCGCCATGGGACAAGGATGATCCTACCTGTTGAATAGCAAATCCCATTCACTATGGGCGAAAGGGACTTTTTGAGCCCATTCTTGAATGGGAGCAGATCCTTGTCATTTGATTGGTGGAACTAACATCATGTGACTTTCTTTATTACTCCCATTCACGCCGGGCTCAAAAAGTCCCATTCGCCCATGGTACACGTAAATGGGATTTACTATTGAACAGTTAGGATCAGTCTTGTTCCAAGACGCGGTATTTGTGTGCAAATGCATGCTGGTGTGCGTGTTCAGCGTTGTATTGTTCCAAAGAGCCAGCGCTACAGAGTTGGGTTCAAACATTTTCGTGAAGGGGTGGTTTGGAAGAGAGAAATACAATTTTGTAGTGAAACCAGTTCACTCATATCAATTTTGTAGTGAAATAATATCAAATGACAAGGATCTACCGTATATATGTCAGTTATATAAAACAAATATTGAGTGCCTTTAAATTGTGAAATGGGAGGATTATTATCGCTCGGTAAAATCTGGACTTTTCCAGTTCACTCGGCTTCACCTCGTGAAATGTGAAAGTCCAGATTTTACCTTGCGATAATATTCCTCCCATTCCACGCTGAGCCACTCAATATTTGTATATCGTGCGATGTGAGTTCCACCAATCAAATGACCAAGATCTGTATGTCAGTTATATAAAGTCGACTCGTGGACTCGAGCCACAGACTCGAGTCATGGACTCAAGATGACTCGAGTCGTGCCACTGACTAGAGTCGATTCACGGATCCAACATTAGGGGAGCAGGTTGGCGTAGCAGTACTTTCCTTGCTTTCCACCACCAACCTGGGTTCGAAACCCGCCTGGGCCAATATGTGGATTGGGTCTTCAGTCCCTGCCTGATTCCGTGCGTTTTCCTCTGGGCTTTTCCTCCCACCTTAGAGGTGTAATTTCTTCTTATTTCTTCTGTAACTTCTTCTTATTGTCTTCTCTCTAAAGGTCTCTTCAGGCTTGCGAGCTACAGTGCTTAGGGTACTTTTGACAAATCCTTGGTTTCATTACCAGAAAGAAATTTAAAAAAAAATTAAGTTATAACACTTCTGATACTCACTGTCAACCTGCATGCCGACCTCCAGGCATTTCTTCATGCGGCAGCCGCCGCAGTGCCGCCGCATGTACAGGTCCATCACGCACTTGCCGTTGGAGCCCATCTCGCACCTGAGGTCGGCCATCTTGCGGGCGTTGCGCCGGAAGAACGTCTTGCAGCCCTCGCAGGTCAGGGCCCGGTAGTGCATGCCGTTGGCCCGGTCACCGCAGACCACGCACAGGGGCACTTTGGTCTGATCGTCAGATGTACACGTGAGTCCTCCTTCTGCCATTGTTTCCTCCCTGAATAATAATAATTGTTGGTATTTATAAAGCGCACGTATCCACCAGGACTGGTGCTCAAGGTGCTACATCATTATCACCCCTGCTCATTGGGCCCGTGAAACATTCCAAATACCATCTCAGCTCCCTGGGGAGTATACAGCTCGATGCAGCCTGTTAGGCGCAAGGAAGCTAATTCAATCACAATAACCATCTCTGCCCTCACAGGTACCCATTTACTCCTGGGTGGAGAGAAGCAATGGGTGACAAAGTGCCTTGCCCAAGGGCACACGCACCATGACCTCAGGTACCGGTAGGTCTCTATGCACGAAAGTGAAACATTCATTATTTGTTGTTTACAACACCTGAATAAATCCTCGTCATCTAAATGGTCAGAGCCTCTAACTAAACCTGTGTGCAATGGAACTTCCATTTACAAATGTACCATGTTTACCGTGGAATGGAACTTACAGCTGCGCTGTGCGTTTGGACGAATAATTCAATGACACATGATCAACGACCCACCGATCAGAAGGCGGCAATTTATTCAGGCGTTGTACTACTGAATAGTCAACTAGACAAGCCCAACCGTGGATCGGCTACCATTTCCACACAGGTCAAGGCCCAGTAGTGCATATCATGAGCCCGATTGTCAGACCGTCAGTTATGTACATTGTGCATGGTTGACTGCATGTACTTCTCACTTGAACTCCCGGTAGCTCAATATATTGTAGTTAACCCCTTCTGAAAAGGGCTTGAAAAGCAAGTACATGTACACGTGCATTTTTGTTATGAAAAGGTTTGCCCTGTTGGTTTGTGTTTGTCACTGTTTTTGAGTAAATATTTTTGTTTTTTTAATTCTCATGCGTGAACCTACAATGCCGTACATACATGTACAACATTATTTTGCAAGCAAGACAGATCTATGATTTTTTTTCTTTCAAGGCAATTGTCGAAGGGTATTCAAGATGAAAACTGACTCGGAAGTATATCGCAATTACAAGATTGCACCAGATTGTTTTTGTAAAAAAAGGTTGTTTCAAAATCATATCAACAAAGAAGCAGGCGTAGTACAAATTCATCTTGTTAAAGGGAAAATACAACATTTGCAAACATCCAAAAATAAAACTACCAAGTTTTTACGAAATACCTTACTACATGTAGGATGTTGGTAAACGACAAACAAAAGCATCCTGTAAAATTATGGCACCTGGTGTGAAGTCATTTTCAAGAAAATGGTATTTTTGTATACATTTCCAACGGTGGTCAGCCAACAACCGTTGGAAAAACCTAACTATTTTTCAACTACTGCTTCAAATTTACAATTTTTCAGTCCAAATTTTGTTTGCTATTGGTTACATGTTCATGAATGGGTGCAGGCAGGCCAGCTACACCTGTTCCCTTACTTTAAAATTTTCCGGCATCTATAAATTGATACATTTCATCTTTAGTGGAGTCAGGGAACCAGACTACTTGAACATTTTCGTTTTTCTTGGTTTTTCCAGCATTTTCGAACACAAAACTTCAAACATGTCAGTGTAACAGTATTTGATCTACATGTACTATACTAACCACTCAAATAGTTCATTTCTGAAAATTACAGCAAAACCCAATGATGTACATTCCCTTTACATTGTAAGGCAGTTGACAGAGTACAGGTAGTTCAAGTTTTGGCACTTCTGATCATGGGTTGGAATCTGGACTAAAGATTTATGTACTGCGGAAAATATCCGGAATTTACCAAAGCACTCGGACTCGGACTTGAGTCCGAGTTCTGTGAGAAATATTTATGACGTTTCTTACATCTGCGTCGACTGTACAATGTATGTGTGCCTGAACACTCTTGCAGGGTGAGTCAAAAAGAAAGTGACCAAATTAGAAAAGCATATTTTTAAAAATATGTAGCTCGCTCCATTTCATAAAAAAAACATAGTGATAAAGTACATGTACATGTTATTGACTAATAACTGCAAACATTTCATGTGATTCGCATGTATACTCAATTCCCAAGTTACATGTATTTGTCTACTGAAATAAAAAGATCACGAAATTCGGCTTTCCACCACTGATGATCTACCATTTTATGAACTGACGAATACCCAATAAATACAATAAAACATGGACGTTTTCCATCTCAATGAATGAATAAAAACTTGTAAAGGAAAACAGACAAAAATGGCCATTAGCATTTCAGATACAAGAGTGTAGGCCTACTTTGTTCTCCATATTCAAAGCACAAAATCTGACTGAAAAAATAATTCTCAGTCTTGACTCAAATGATTAAAATCCAATTTGTATTTGAATGACTGTGTGTAATCTGTAATTCTCACTCAGCTCAATAGCTTCTAATGGCATTGCATGGACAGCCATAAAAAATGAGTTGTTTAATAGTGAAAAATGCATATTAGGGCCTATAACTCTGATAGCATGGATCAATTTCAATAATTGTTTTTTTAATCAGATGAGTGGAAGAACAGGCTCTTTCAATAATAAGGTTTTTGCCCTTCACCGACATATAAAGACTGTTTAAAGGCCTACTCAGTGTGTTACCTCCCGAGTGAAAGTTGGCAAAAAATCACTCGGTTGGCTTGTTTAATAGTGAAAAATGCATATTAGGGCCTATAACTTCTAACATTGTCTAATAGCATGGATCAATTTCAATAATTGTTTTTTTTTTATTATTCAGATGAGTGGAAGAACATGCTCTTTCAATATTAGGTTTTTGCCCTTCACCGACATATAAAGACTGTTTAGGCCTACTCAGTGTGTTACCTCCTGAAGTGAAAGTTGGCAAAAAATCACTCGGTTGGGACTCAAACCCACGACCTCCTGCTTTCTAGTGCAGACGTCTTACCACTCGAAAACAGATCCCGCAAGCTTGGTGGTTTTCAAAATAGGGGGCCTATACCACGAAGATGCTGTAGTTTAGGAATACCTTTAAAGGGAATATACATCATTTGCTTTTGCGGTAATTTTCAGAAATGGATGGAATTGGGGGGTTGGAAATATATAGCAAATATAGTTACACTGACTTTTTTGAGGTTTTGGGTTCGAAAATGCTATAAAAACCAAGAAAAACAATCATTTCCCTGTAGTCTGGTTCCCTGACTCCATTTAAGAAGAAACAGAGCAGTTTACATACATTGGGGAATTGTAAGGTCAGGGAACCAGTCTAGCTGGCTTGTACCCGTTCATAGGTGTGTAATCGATTGCAAACAAGTGCGATGGTCAACTGGGGCCAGTATTTGAAAAAAAGCCAGTTTTTTCCAACGCTGATTGGCCGATCAGCGTTGAAAATTGATACAAAAATACCACTTTTCTTGAAAATGACAGTATACCAGGTGCCATGATTTTACAGGATGCTTTACATTGTCATTCACTAACAGTCCAGCAAGGTATTTCAAAATGATTTGGTAGTTTTATTTTTTGATGTTTGCAAATGTTGTATTTTCCCTTTAAACGATTTTAACATACATGTACACGTGTACATGTGTATCTCCTTAACTAAAAAAAATCTGCGTCTGAAAAAGTGTGTAAAAGTTGTATTTGGTCCAACCTGTATACATGTACATGTAGTTCTACTATACAAGGTGGACCAAAAAAGTGCAAAGTAAATTTCCAACTAATTTAAGAAAAAAAAATATGACAGTACATTTTGGAACTCAAAGACAATACTGCCAATTAGTGGCTGTTAACTTGGCTTACTGGTTTTGTTTTTTTCTCTCTCTCTCTATCCAATCTTTCTGATATGGTGTAGCCTTTAGTCAAGTCCCACGTGCTTACACGGATACGTGACGCACCCCGGATGCTGACACGTAAAAAGACTAGCATGAGCGGTGAAGCCGCGAGGGCCTTTACCATCTCGTGGAGAACGTTTATGTTTTTCTTTACATTTGTCTACCGATTTGGTAGACATGCATATAATGCATTACCCGTTGTGAATTGACCAATAAAAATGCAGAATTACTAACGTAAATCAGCCGTTGTCTGGTGCTGTTGCTGGTAACCGCAAACCACCGTTGGATGATTGGTTTATATTGCTTGATTTATATTACGTGAATAAATGAATAAGTGATTAGTTCCACGAGATAGTAAAGGCCCTCGCGGCTTCGCCGCTCGTGCTAGTCTTTTTACGTGCCAGCATCCGGGGTGCGTTACGTGTCCGGATGGTCCGGGTATAGGCGCGTGGGACTTGACTAAAGGCTAGATACATGTATGGTGATGATGACAATCATTGATTGGTTTCTTCCCTGACGTGGTGGTTGCCATGGATAACCTCTGCCAGTAACCTTTTCTCTTACTTAGTATGCTTTCATTTCGCTGGAGGTCGTCAAAGTAAACAGGGCTCAATTTTCACTTCAGATGAAAGTCTACATGTACATGTACTAGCCAACAGGGCTATTGCTCACTTTCTTTTGATCAAACCCAAAGGCATTTTTACAAGAGGAAGAAACAGTGGAAATGTGATATTAAGCTGGCAGAAAGCACTAGATACCCATTCTACATCCAGGCATGCAACTGGGAAGTAACAAAAAAAGAGGAAATTCAAATCTTTCCAAGACTTTGTGCAGTGTTTTTCTATTTTCAATGGCACACATTGGAAGTGAAAAAAGAGGAAATCAGCTGATCCGAGGAAAAGTTGCATGCCTGTACATCGGTGACAGCTCGATTGTCCGAAGGTTTGTTAGTCCGAAGGTTCATTAGTCCAAAGGTTCGTTAGTCCGCAGGTTCATTAGTACGAATGTTCATTAGTCCGAAGATTCATTAGTACGAATGGCTAATTTGTCGGGGGAAAAAAGAAGATTTCAATACTTTGAATGTTCCAAATCTGAACAGATGATAAAGTTTGATAGTCGGAATCGACAATAACGTTCAACAATCCAAATTGACAGCACTTAACATTATTGTAAATTCCGACTATTGAACATATTGTGCGGTGCTTTCAGATTAATGAACCTTCGGACTAGTGAACTTTTTTTTCATTTCGGACTATTGAACCTTCGGACTTATTAACCTTATTGTAAATTCCGACTACCGAACCTTCAGACAAAAGAACCTTCGGATTATCGAACCTTCAGACATTGGGCGGACCCCACTAAATAAATCACTAGACTCAGTGTAGCAGTCTACAGCCTGTCTCCAAAAAAAATGGTACAATCAGAAAAAAAAATTGGTTAAATATGAAATTTTAAAATAAGTCATTCTTACTTGGCATAACATTTAAGAACAAAGACTGGGCTTTCCAATAGTGTTTGTTTGATCTTATTTGCTAAAATTGTCAATTCAGAGATATAATCAATTTAGTGCGATACACCAAAATCGATTTTGTGCCACTTTTATGCACGGGCAGAGCTGTTTTGAGTACTGTGCCATGCTGTCTTGAAGCTCACAAAAGATTGCAACTTGGCAAAAGAAACAAACTTGATTTTTGTGTTCCGCAGTAAACCGGAGTTATCTCTGGATTGACAAAAGTAAATGAGATGAAACAAAAAGTATTGGAAAGCCTGGTCTTTTTTCTTTAATGTGATGCTCAAAACGATTGAGCATCACATTAAATGGTACAATCGTTTTCGATTGTACCATTTTTTTTTAGACAGGCTGTATAGTGCACATTTGGATGGCTGACATGAGCTTCGGGAAATATTGGCAAAGTCCTATATTTCCAGTGTTGTATTCGAGTCCCTGCAAGTCCATCACAAGTCCTTCATCAGTCTCAAGTCAAGTCACTAGCTATTCAAATGAACTGTAAAAACAGTTCCTTGTCGTTGTTCATCCAGTTGTGACTGGCTTTATGAAAGGACTTGTGAAAGGACTTGTGATGGACTCGAGTACGACACTGCATATTTCCTACAGTACTTTAACTCTTTCAGTGCCAAACTCGTACATGTACGGTACGAGGTACATTATATTTGTTAGTACAAAAGCGCCAACCTCGTACATGTACGAGGTAATGTTCGTACTTAAAATTGCCAAACCTCGTACATGTACGAGGTAGAGTAAATATGTTATCAAAAGGGGGCGCTCTTGCTCTTTCTAATGGTACCATTTTCATGCATGTACGACCTGTATTTATTTTTTCATTCGAGTTCTTGCGAGAGGGTGCAGCACTAAATCTCGTATTTTCTGCAAAAAGTGCGGAATTCCCCTGTGTTCAGGCCAGTGTTGCAGGGTGTATCACTATGTTTGTGACTACTTTTGACTTTCCAATATATCAAGGATATACATACATGTACCACAGAGCAACAACAACAAATTTAGTGAGTAAAACTTATTTACTTTTTTTTTATACAGAATTTCGAACAATTAACAAAAACGCTCGAAGTTGGGCACTTTAGGGTTAAACTTTTCAAATTTCGCGAGCACTGAAAGAGTTAATTGACCCCTTATTTCTGTTGAACCTATAACATGCATTGTACCTGTACAGGCTGAGTAAAAAAAAAAAGGAACCCGAATTGCGGGACCAATTTTTGAATGAAGTTTTGCCTGTAGCACTTTCAAAATCTAGAGTATGAAAGCCCAGTCATTTTAAGCTTTCTTTTACATGTATCTGTAAAAGAATCTTTCAAAGTAAAAGAATCTTTCAAATCAATGTACTTTTCACGTTACGGAATTTTGCACACAAACACCATTTGTGTTCAAAATTCAGAATCGAAAACGATTCGCATGCCGTGAATTGTTTTTCGTTTTGCTGAAAGAACACTAACCTTTTTTTGTGATCCGTGGACAGAACTTTAAAACAGTGTTTGTGTTCAAAACTCCGTAACTTGAAAAATACATGAGTGATTTGAATGATTCTTGCACTAAAAGAAAGCTCATTGATTGGGCTTTTCATATCCTAGATTTTGAAAGTACTTCAGGCAAAACTTCATTCAAACTTCATTGAAAATTAGTCCCGCCATTGGGGTTTCAACTTTTTTTTACTCACCTTGTACAGTCATTTGTGTACATGCCATGTACATGTATAGGGGCAAATTGAACTGATTTTTAATATTGCATACAATATAATTTCACGTAGTTACAGGATTTCATGAAATGTATTGTGTTCATGCTTTAATTAACATCTGTTCCCTTGATTAGGCCCAAAAAAAATATATTCGGTCTCTGGTCAGACCAAAGTTCCGAAATTTTTTTTTTTGCTTTTTTCTTTTTCTTCAAGCTTGGATTGTACAGACAAGGTGGGGTACTATTTTGCTTTTTTGGTGTCCTCATGTACATTGGTGTCCTCCATAATTTGCCTTGGTGCTTTTGATCATTTGCCTTGGTGCAATTTCCCATTCCTTGGTGCTCTTTGGTAAAAAAAATTGTTGGAGCTACCGCGGAACATTTTGAAAAAAAAATGATTGACGCGCATGATTAAAATCGACGCGCGCGCTGACCAGAGACCGACTTATTTTTTTTTTGGCCTTATAGTGGTAGGATTATTTTTACAAAGGTCTGATCTGGGCGGAATTCCTCCCCCCCCCTCAACTTTTTCCACGATAGCCTTGAAAAAAAAAAACATTTTCGCGACCCGAGCTGACTTTTTAGCCTCAAGCCTTGCTCATCTTTTGATACCAAAAACATAAAATTTCTGGCGCTATGCGCCATGAAAACTAAATTTTCCCATATACGTAGTGTACAAAGACCAGAATTACCATTCGTGCATATATGAATAATTAATTAGCCATAATTCCATAACCCTTTGATCTACATGTATAGTCTTGAAATTTCTTGGGTATGTTTATGAATAGTTGTTCTATGCATGTACCGAGTTTCAAAATTTATGGCCGAGATCTTAGGGAGGAGGGCAGAATCCCCCCACCCCCTGGCTGAGAGATGGTCAAAATAGCCTGGCCCTATTAGGGTTAAAGCATCAATAGTTTGACGGAAACAGATGTACTGGTCTTGCAAGGCCTGTGTCCAACTTACAAATTTACCTTGTAAATACTACGGTAGCACTGACTTCAAGGCTGTGTACTTGTATGTGCTGTATCAGCGTGCCACGTACAGCTGGCCTAGGGCCGAGGAGCTGGCCATACGGGCTACTTTGCGAAACCCCGATCCGATTGCACGCACAAAGCCCGCAATGCATTCACACGCACTGCTCTTACCGGTAAGTGAGAGTCCCATCCCGCGTATGAGTTTCTTTACACGACGTCAGAAATTCATGTAAATGAGCAGGGGGGGGGGGGGGATGAGTGGGTATGCAAATTACTAGCTACATTGTATGAATAGCGTATGATTCTCAACAGCCAATCACGTCGCAGATCAAATATTGTTGTTTGGTTTAAAGGGAAGATACAACATTTGCAAACATCAAAAAACAAAATGATAAAATTATCACGAAATACCTTACTGGATTGTTAGGGAATGACAGTCTAAAGCATCCTGTAAAATCGTGGCTCCTGGTGTGCTGACATTTTCAAGAAAAACTCTATTTTTCCAACGCTGGTCGGCCGACCAGCGTTGGAAAACACTGGCTTTTTCAAAAACTGTTCATATTTTTTCATATTTAGTTATTCTGCATTTTCTTTGCAATTGATCACACACCTGTGAAGGGGTACAAACCTGCTAAAGTGATTCTTGGACCTTACCATTCCCCAAAGTCTTTACGTTTCTCCGTTTCATCTTAAGTGGGGTCGGGGAACCAGACTACAAGAAAATGATTGGTTTTCTTGGTTTTTCCAACATACATGTAAACAAGCCCCAAAACGTGAAACAAGTCAGTTGAACAATATTTGCTATAACATACTAATCCTCCAAATCCATTTATTTCAGAAAATTGCAGCAAAAGCAAATGTTGTACATTCCCTTTAACCCAAAACGGGCGTGCGCATGACACTATACCCAAGCCATGTTTCTAAACAGCATGTGTCTCAGATCCCGCTCAATCGTAAGCAGCTCATTCTCCGCAAGTTACAGAGTTTGAATCAAGGCTGTGATCCTTCGGAGCATGGGTTTTGGACTCTCACATGGGGGCATGCATTATGGGCTTTGTGCATCTGTTCAGATCGGGGTTTCGCCGTGTTGAGCCAAACGCGCGCTACTTTTTTTTGTAACTGATAAAGCACATACCGGTTCATGTACACAACCTTGCATTCAAGGCAATGTAAATACGTACATTTGGGTGCAGCAGGTTTAACAATGAGGTGGGGTGGTCCAACATCTACAGAAACATCTCTGCACCATCAGCCCCTGCAAGAAACAAAAGCGACAAAGCGAGGGTTCAAGACGAGATTTGATACACTACGTTTGTCTTAATTTCTATGTACACAGGTGATTGGTATAACTGCATTGGTATAGAAATTGCACCAGCTGGTTTGGGGGGGGGGGGGGGAGGGGCAGGGGGAAGGGGCAGGGGGAAAGGTGGAAGAATAAGGGGGAGAATAGAATGATCAACATGTGTTTCGGCTTTATCTTTACTCGCATACGGTACAACATGAATATCCTCAACGAATCTGTACGTACATGTACCGGTACATGTAGTACGGTACATGTACGACCTGTAGCCTTTGGTGAGTAGTACAACTTTAAAATTCCATAAAATTTACAATCTGTGCAAAAATTTAAAAAGCTGTACGTGCACACACACATGTACCATCAAATTAAATCCCACCTAAGTAGTTCCAGCAAGGTTGCGTACATGTACAAATGTATGTATGATAAATTGATAAATTGAATTATCCAAGCCATAGGCCTAATCCACAGTGAATAGCATGTACAATAAGGCCTACATAATGGAAAAGAACAAAATGCTGACTTTTTTTGCAGTTAATGGTTTTGGTCAATCCAGCTCACCATGGCTACTAGTACACGTACATGTCTCAATCTGGAGGCGAACAGCTGTTTCTCAATGTCAATGCTAATATTAAAGGGAATATACAACATTTGCAAACATCGAAAAACAAAACTACCAAGTTTGTATGTCAAAATACCTTACTAGGATGTTGGTAAATGACAGTCTAAAGCATCCTGTAAAATTATGGCACCAGGTGTGAAATCATTTTCAAGAAAAGTGGTATTTTTGTATAAATTTCCACCGTTGGAAAAACCTAACTATTTTTCAACTACTGCTCCAAATGTACCTTTTTTCAGTCCAAATTTTGTTTGCTATTGGTTACATGTTCATGAACGGGTGCAGGCAGGCCAACTACATGTAGACTGGTTTCCTTACCTTACAATATTCCAGCATCTATAAATGGATCCATTTCATCTTTACTGGAGTCAGGGAACCAGACTATTTGAACATTTTTGTTTTTCTTGGTTTTTCCAGCATTTTCGAACACAAAACTTCAAACATGTCAGTGTAACAATATTTGATCTATTATCATGATTATGCTAACACCTCAAATAGTTCATTTCTGAAAATTACAGCAAAAGCCAATAATGTACACATTTGTACATTTCCTTTAACTCTCTCGAGCAACTGCACTTGAACAGCAAAAAGATTTTCTTGTTTTTATACCGTCACGATTTTTGCCGTGACGTTTTTGGAACCGTCATGACGCGCTTAAGTTGTTTGCGTACATGTATCTTCTACTTGTGTGAACGTTGCACTAAAGAGTACACTTTTAAAATTCAATCTATTTTAGTTGTGTTCTACAAACACGCACATGAATTCAAAATGTCTGCGCCCAGAGCGGCTTCAAAGCGTCTCCGCGCACAAGAATGAGGAGTTAGCGCTCTAGTAATTTAATTACTAGCTCTATGGTCGTCACTCAGGTTACAAAAAAAAAGACATGGAAAATTTCCTTTCAATTTTGTTGTTAAAGTGTCCATAAACTGAAGTCTACAGCACAGTTGATGTACCTTTTACACAACCCATACCCCCGGAAGCTTCATTTTTGTAAATATAAATACCCCCTTTGAAGTTGTAGTGCTTGTAGTTTGGAAGATTTTCATAAATTTTCCATTTTTCAGCCTTGTCCACATTTGTGTGAAATAGCCCACATAAATGTACATTGTACATGTTTTGTTACGTACAATGTGCATACAATATGTTACAGTGTACGTGCAGACATGCACGTACGGGAACAATACCTTTTCGCAATAGAGCGCGCCACCGAGCATTTGCCTTGCAGGGGCAAACTGTCATCCTCGCGGTCAACCACCTACCGTTTATCACGCCTTCTTCATTGAAAACGCACGGTACTGCAAAGTCACACAATTGATGCATTCCATCTAAAGCCCTGTACATGTATGTACTTCAAATCATTGTACGAGCGCACGTCAATAGGCATCATGCGACTCCCAAATAAACAAAAAACAAGTTAAAGCCTGATCATGAAAAAAACTTGTCATACATCTGTACATTGTACATTTATGTAAAATTTGCAAAAATGACTATTTGTTGAAAACTCAGTATTCTTGCAAGCCATGTCGATGTTTTCCACCGTGATGCCCGCAGGCGAAGCAGATCCAGCATCAAATTTTTTATTACATGATCCGACTTCTCAAGCAATAACTCTTCGACGCAACGAGATGTTGTCATGGAAACACACTGGGCACTTTTTGTTGGTGACAGAGGCTTATGACCAGGTACATTATTTACAGTCTTTAAGATATTGGGAAAATTACTCATGGGCAATTTTATTATACATCGGGCCACAAGGCTATTCATCCAACATATTTAACGCTGCAGCTGCCCGGTCACAAGAGTTTTTAACCTTTCAAATTTGTGATTTTTTGAATTTGGTTTTTGTTTTCTTTAATTTAAAATTAACCCTAACAGTACCGTAGACCTTTTTGCTAGGATGTAGCCTCAATCCTAAAAAATCCTCCAATTGGCCTCATGGAAAAAATAGCCTCAATCCTGCAAATTTCTCCCATTATTTCTTGAATATGGTCCGTGGAGGGGGGACCACTGCCTGAATCCTGCAAAAGCCTGCGGAAGTGACTGTCAATATGTTGAGGCTTGGCCAGTGACATCCTGGAGCAGTACGGAGGATTTCAAGCATAATCCAGGCCTATATTTATGCATGGCTGAGCAAAAACAACTCAAGGTCCGGCCCAAGACCTTCATTGACAAAGTGCATCCTACGAAATCAGTAACACACTTTTGCCATACCTCAATCCTCCAAATTCCTCCACTTTGGTAAAGAGGATTTTGAAGGATTCAGGGTGGTTAGGGTTACACCTAACCTTCCCTAATCCTCCAAAATACTCTTTGCAAATTGGAGGATTTTGTAGGATTGAGGCTATACATGTCAAAAAAGGTGTGGCTGATTTTGGAGGATGCACTGTATCAGCTAGGCCAGACCTTGTGTTGTTTAATTATGCTCAGCCGTGCATAAATTTAGGCCTACGGTAGATTATACTTGAAATCCTCCGCACTGCTCCAGGATGTCAATGGCTTTGCCTCAACATTATCGACAGCTAATTGCTGGAGGATTTTGCAGGATTGAGTCAGTGGTCACCCTCCAAGGACCACATTCACGAAATAACGGGGGATTTTGCAGGATTGAGGCATGTGAAGTTTACATGTATAGCCTGGGCAGTTGAAGGATTTTGCAGGATTGAGGTTGCATCCTAGCAAAAAATGCCTCAGCAGTTGGAGTTAAATATCATTATAAATGCAATGTAGCCTAAAAACTTTCCAAAAAAAAATACATGAAAAATTCACCCTTTTTTAGTATCTCATAATCAAATGGTTGGCCTCCACTGAATGTAAATTGGCTGTTTCGCCGTTTAATTTACTGGATGTTTTGCAGTTGAAGGTCATTTAAAAAAAAAAAATCATTTCTTTGAAGTACCGGTACATGTATCACAGTCTCACAAAAAGATAATATTTCCATTATTTACGATACAATGAGAGACGATGAAGTCTTTTGCTCTTTAGTGTATTAAGTACTTCCCTCCATTAGATGGTTTAAAAATGATAGTTTTAAAAAAAATATTGCGGACAACAAAGCCTTTCCGATGTCTTTGTGATACAACCTGGGGATACCAAATCGTTTTGAGCGATCAAAAAGCTGTTTTCTTATACACTGAGGATCGCCAAACGACTTCCAGCCCATCACAGCAATTGCGAGTGTGCGTTTCTAAGCGAGGTTGTCATAGAAACCAGAGGGTGAAAAATTGCGGAGGTTACTCCGCAATGTCATCACTACTTACGTGTGTAAGTCAGCCTGAGGGTTCTACTAACTTAAAGGGAATATACATCATTTGCTTTTGCTGTAATTTTCAGAAATGGATGCAATTGGGGGGTTGGAAATATATAGCAAATATAGTTACACTGACTTTTTTGAAGTTTTGGGTTCAAAAATGCTATAAAAACCAAGAAAAACAATCATTTTCCTGTAGTCTGATTCCCCGACTCCATTTAAGAAGAAACAGAGCAGTTTACATACATTGAGGAATTGTAAGGTCAGGAAACCAGTCTAGCTGGCTTGTACCCGTTCATAGGTGTGTAATCGATTGCAAACAAGTGCGATGGTCAATTGGGGCCAGTATTTGAAAAAAAGCCAGTTGTTTCCAACGCTGATCAGCCGATCAGCGTTGGAAATTGATACAAAAATACCACCTTTCTTGAAAATGACAGTATACCAGGTGCCATGATTTTACAGGATGCTTTACACTGTCATTCACTAACAGTCCAGCAAGGTATTTCAAAATGATTTGGTAGTTTTATTTTTTGATGTTTGCAAATGTTGTATTTTTCCTTTAAAGGGGCAGGGCCCATGCATTTGCTTAATGCTATCCGTGAAAACGCGATCCACAAATGTACGTGTTTCCCATTTAACCTTACTTTCAATTTTGTTTTGCCATTTTTAAAGTCTTTCCCAAGCTCGTACTTAATTTATATTTTACAAGGAGACGAGTTAAAGGGAATATACAACATTTGCAAACATCGAAAAACAAAACTACAAAGTTTTTACGAAATACGGTACCTTACTAGGATGTTGGTAAATGACAGTCTCAAGCATCTTGTAAAATTATGGCACCTGGTCATGCTGGTGTGAAGTCATTTTCAAGAAAATGGTATTTTTGTATTTCCAACGGTGGTTGGCCGACCAGCGTTGGAAAAACCTAACTATTTTTCAACTACTGCTCCAAATTTACCATTTTTTCAGTCCAAATTGTGTTTGCTAATTGGTTACATGTTCATGAACGGGTGCAGGCCAGCTAGACTGGTTCCCTTGCCTTACAATTTTCCATCATCTATAAATTGATCCATTTTATCTTTTGTGGAGTCAGGG